CCCCCCCCCCTACATACACACACACACACACACACTTGACAGGCTACTCATAGCTCACAGAAGGCTCAAAACACCATCTGACACAGTTTATCACATCAGAAAGAAATACATAAAACAAAATATCACTTTTCAAACATGCACTCCTTCACCTTTGCTGTGTCATCGTCCGGAATGTCTTCCAGCTGGTCAATATAGGAGAGCACGGCTCCGCAAGAATTTGGGTTGCTGCAGGTTATCAGTTCTGAAACGTCCACGGCTTGCTCGGCTGGCTCATCAACCAGTTTGCACAAAGAAAGGCTCATTTTGTTGGTGTTCAACTGCAAATGAAAAAAACCAGGGATTTTCAAAAGTTTTACGGCACTTACAATACAATAAGATCATATAAGAGCTGAAGATTAGAGGTGTTACAAGAGAGTAACACACACAAAAACTAAAAGAAGGAGGAGAGATCAGGACAATAGATGTTTGATATAAAAGAAGGAGCAAACCACATCAGAACACACGTGCCAACCAACCACAAAATAATGTTTAAATTAGAAAGGAAAAAAAAGTATAAGTAGATTAAGTGTCATCAAGGCTCAAAATTTCAAAATAGAGCCTAATTTAATCTGAAGGATCCCCAAGTTTTTGTTTGAAAGGAAGACGAAAATATAAAACATTATTTATCACTTTATAACTTTATAAAAACGTACACATAAGCCCACAAACTCACACAAACAGACACATTTAAATTCCAGTAGTCAGTACACAACAACATACTAATATAGACATAACACACTGTTGCCGTCATTCATCATTGTTGTATGTCAAAATATAAAGTTTTCAGTGGAAGCTAAAAACTGTTTTATTTCGCTTAGGACTTTAAGCTTATAAAAATTAGAAATTCGTCTAAATACCAATTCCTGTTTCAAGAAGAGAAACGAGAGAGACCAAGACAAATCAGTGTACTGCATCAACTCTTCAACATACTTGATTTTCTTTTCCCTGAAATTTTGACATACAACTACAAAGTTGAATGCCGGGAGCAATATACCACTGCCACGCACATCAGAGCAGCGCCCAGTAAAAACCTACGCTTGGGCTATCCCATAGTAACTGATGGGACAGACAAAATACCTCATATATATCTGTCCCGTTATCAGTTACCAAAACTAAACACATCGCACACTTTGCATTATAAGTACTTTTTTTTCAAATGACTGCATTTAATATGATTCTTAATATGTGAGGCAGCGTGGGGTTTCAGTTATCACAGACTCTTAAGCTTTTTTCATCCAAATAAAGACAGGTGAACAATCTTTAAGATGATACCAATAACTCTATACGCCCAAAAATTGACGAGGGCCTGATTCCACCACGCTGCCTCACATATGTATCTTTCAAATGCTCTGATCAGTTAAAGTTGAAATATATTAATTAATATTGAATTACAGTGTTGTCATTGTCTAAAGATGCAGTCCAAATGTCCTGTCAGTTGCTGTGAAATATCCCAACACACAAACTGACTCAGCCTTCATGAAACACAAGAGCAAAACTTGTTCCACTTACAGATTTTGAAGGCTTTCCAGCAGGAGGCTGTTGGTCTTCCTCTTCAACTTCATCCATGATTGCACACTCGTATCCGCCAAAACCTTCAGCTGAAATTTAAAAAGAAATCACCTACAACAACAGCATCGGTACCTATATATAAAGTTACCTGACGGTCCGATGAGTATGAAAAGTGTTTACTTTTGATTAACTTGCTACACACAGAAAGGTGAGATGACAAGGAATAACATCACATAAAAGTGGCTGCCCATGATAGGGAAAAGTGGAATTAAGTGCTCGAGATCTTGGCTTATACTCTATACCCTGATCCAGGGTGAGAAAAACTATGAATAAATACAAGTACTGGGATTGGGATCAAAATCGGTATGGTATGCTTGAAGTAAAGTTAATAATTATTTTTTGTACAATATAATTTATAATATGTTTTTGCTAATCTAATACAAATGTAAATGAAACTTTGGAAACTGTTTGGTGGTACTTTAAACTACTATACATAGACTAGACTTTCGAACAGGATGAAGAATTGAACCTATAACATACATTTTCACAAACAAGAATTAAGTGTAATCCATAAACTATATAAACTTGTCCAAAAGAAATCTGATATAATTCTAATCTTTTACCTTCTGGATCAAAATCATCAAGCACATCTTCACACTCATCTTCCGCCTCTTCTTCAACTCCAGATTCATCGAGGATATATTTAGATGAGAAGTCCATTATCACAGCTCTGATCTCTGTGAGTAAACGTTTGGAAATCACTTGAAATGAAAATTGGACATTTTCATTCTATAAGACCAAATGAGCACTACTTGACTATATTATGGGCTAAGCGGGGAGCTTAAGGTTAAGATAGAATTAAACTGGGGGGGGTTTTCTTCCGAAAGTTTAATTAATCTTTTATAGTCTGTGCAATTTTTTTCAAAGCTTAGGATAAGCGTACAGCATATGATAAGGCATAATACAGTCAAACCTGTGTAAGACGGCCACCCAGTGTCAAGGAGAAAAGTGGCCGTATAAGACAGGTGGCCGTCTTAGGCAGGACTAATCAAGATGAAGGGAACAAACCATTCCCATCTGAGGTCCCAATCGAAAGTAGTCGCAATGTTTTTGTTTTTGTTGTTGTTGGTTTGTATTTTTTTGGTAATTTTTATTTTGTTGCTGATTTTGCGCAAGGGTGACAATAAAACGAAATGACGAAGAAGACCGAGTGCCTAGAACAAACACATGGGTCGTCACCACTCGGAGAATGAGCAACGCTTCTGTCACGAGCTCATGTTGACATCCTTTGTTACTTTGTTACAGACTGGGTAAACAGTGACCACTCATCTCACTTTCGATTTGTATGAGTTGTGGGCGGGGCTTATGGCTTTTGAGGGATCACACGAAACTTAACCTCACCAGCAACTGAAAATTGGTTGGTCAATGGGAGGGCCTACGCAACACGATCCGTTGGAGGGACTACCTAACAACAACGACAGGGTTTTGAATTATGACGGCTCGCCCACCACGCCAGGGGCCAATGCACAATTTATGACAAAACGTAATGGAGTCACTAAGGTGGCCGTCTAAGACAGGTATAATTGCTTAGTGTGATAGGGGTTGTGTGTTAAAATATTGTGGTCGCGGGCGCGTTGTACAGGTGCCCGTTTTACACAGTTAAATTATATAGAAAAAACGCAAGGGGGGGAGATGGAAAGTGGCCGTTTGTACAAGTATGGCCGTCTTATAGAGGTGGCCGTCAGGGCAGGTTTGACTCTATAAAGATCTTGGGCACTAGTGATCTTTGAAAATTGCCTTCCCGTTCCAGTGGATAATTTGCCATGTGAACGTGAAGATTGTGTGTGTTTTTTTTTTTATTATTATTTTAGCCAAGCGGGCAAGCCCCCTGTGACCCCCCACTTCACAGCTAGGGGGGCAAGCCCCCCCCCCTCCCCCTCCCACATCAGGGGGGCTAATTATGTGGCAGGATATGTTCACTTAGCCTACATACTACACACGGCCACTTTTTGTCCTTAGCAATCACTTCTGTTTCTTATGTTAACAAACAGGAATTTTAAGGCAATTTCCAAAGAGCCCTATTCTATATCTTGGTCAGTCAGAATGGAATGAAAATGACCATCACTAAAAATGACCATCACTAAAAATGCACTCACCGATTCGCCGTCGATCCCTTATTCACTTGTTTCAACCAATGAACGGCAGAAATTACGATGAGAGAGGTAAGCTGGAGTGGGGCGAAATGTAGTTGTAGCTCTGTCTAATTCACCCGATCGTTTTGATACCACTGTTACAAAACGTAGGATCTAGGATCTTCATTCACATACAAAAAGGAGTCGAATTTTCCCGGAAAATAACCCCCCCGGCTGACACACGACTGCTTCAAAAGCAAAACCAGCCTGGCAGTGCCGATTAAAATGTAGTCATTCCTTATCTATAAATAGACTGTGGATTTTCCGATGTTGTATTAGATAATTTTAGCCATCGGGAATTTATAAAGATCATTATGTGGCCAGGACTTCATTAGGTGACATAGGCCTAATAATATATTGGATAATTATTATAAAATGATATCACCGATCTAACCGACCTGAAAGACCAGTCATGGGTGGTTATTCATAAATTTGTTTTTATTCAAATAAATTAAAAGAGCATAATATTTCTGTTTCAGTACTTTTAAAAAATCCAAGTTTAAATCGAAACGGTGTCTTGCAAATGTTTGTTTTCGAGTTTTCGAATCATTCTTCAGGCTTGCATCGTCAAGCACGTAAAACTGTCGTGGGCCTAGGCTCGGCCTGCGATGCTCAGCCAAGGACCTCGTTTAGATCTAGATCTAGAAATCTAGATATCTATACAACTGTACAAATCTAGCCCGCAGTCGATAGGCTAATTTTAATTACATACGTAAATATATAATCATAGTCCATAGGCTATGATTAATTATGTTCTCCCTTCTTGTGTAAGAAAATATAGATCTCTATAGGCCTAAAATTTGAGAATTATAATAGGCTAATTATGCTGGCGTGTTTGTGTGTGTGGGGGGGGGGGATTATTTCGGGTTTCAACAAAGGGCTCGTTAAACAAATCGGATGCTTTGTGCAGCTTGACTCTCCTAACACAATAGGCCTAGATCTTGATCTAGATCTATAATATTTAAAATAGATATAATAATTGGAGATTATGAGTATAATAAGGCCTAGCCAAGCCTACAAGATGATGGGCCATCTAATCATCAAACTTTTGGCCAGATTTTCCAAAGTCGGTTAAATGTGGTGCGTACTCAGTCGACTACATTTATCGCATTTTCTTGCTCGGGGAAATTCAACGGTTTGCTTGAACAGATAAAGAGGGGAGCCCACCTGCGCTGTAAAGCTTTGTATTGAAGTAAAGCTCTATCATTTTTATATTAGGGCCTACTATCGTAAGGATGATTCTTGACGACGACGCCCAGATCATCAGATAACACCTCGATATTTTTCATTGTTGCTTAATATTTCTTTACACATTGTTCACTGTTTTCGAGCATTCTGATATTGAAGTTTTGAATATATTTGAAAGTAACACTTACTATTGTACGATTGTCTCGATCTGAATAAATTATAGTTTTAGCTCCTTTTTCTTTTTTTTTAATTGCATGTTCGGTTGTATCAAAATGAATCATCCATCAGCGGCTCGCCTCATGACTTGGTCACAGAAATCTGCTTCCGATCTGACAAGTTGGCAACACCATGCCCTGGTCCGTTTTCGAGTCCGGTCCGACGAGTGTACGATGTAAACGAAATAAAAATGGAGACCATCCACCTCAGTCTTCTAGTCGACTTGTACAGAGACCAGCCGTGTCTGTGGGATTCTTCGTCACCCGAACACGCTGACAAGGAATTGAGGCAGTATGCACTGGAAGAGATTCTTAAAGGGGCTGGGTATGCGATTACAGGTGAGTTATCATTTGAGCGGAAGGAGTTTGAACGATCAAAGCAGAAACGATTATCTCTGATTCTACAAAATCGGAGACTTTCGTGCCAGTTGAAAGACTGTCCTCGAATCATCTGATCACTTGATAGATTTTTCATTTGTTAGGCCCTATAGCCTGCTGCACTTGCAATGCAATCGTGGATTTGCATGCTCAAATGAAACTGTCGTTAACGATGAATGTTATAAAGGCCTTCGTATTATATAAGCCTCCTAAATTCTAGAGATCTACACTCACAAGTCGTATTTTACGTAAGTGAGAATAGTGAGATGATGAGTTGCAACTGTCTACCCAGTCTGTAACAAAGTAACAACGGAGGTCAACATGAACTTGTGACAGAAGCGCCGCTCGTTCTCCGTGTGGTGGCGACTCATGTGTTTGTTTTACCATAGCACTCGGTCATCCTTGTCGGACACATTTCATTTTACTGTTACTGTTACCCTTGCACAAAAGCAGCATAGGCCTAAAGAAAAGAAAACAAACAAACAGCGAAAACAACAACAACGATGCGGTACCTTTGGTTGGGACCTCAGAAAGGAATGGTTTGTTTTCTTCATCTTGACCAGTCCTGCCTAGGCTAAGACGGCCACCTGTCTTACACGGCCACTTTTCTCCTTGACAATGGGTGGACGTCTTGTGTTCGACTGACAAGTTTACAGGGCTATATTATGATGATGAGCAATCTGATACATCATCTCAGTACCGTATAGAGTATAGATCTTTCATGCTACAACAAGAATTTCTTCTTTTAGAAAGGCAGCATAGCGCCCTCTTTTCTTCACTTTCATATTTTTCCTTTTATCCTTGTTTCTTTTTCTCCACTCTGAGAAATTGTAAATGCTCCCGCCCATCTCATTTTCGTGTAAAACTCCCCTGGTCAGGCAATATTTTGCAAGCTAATCTCATAAAATTAGTTTTAAAAAAGATAGAGGTTCTTTTAACATTTTTTGGCTCCCCCCCCCCTTCCTGTTTTTTGTCCAGCATCAATCCTGTCAGCTTTGACGAGACAAGTGAGCACAGAATAAAAAGGAGAGGATCCATTTATAGAATAAGAGATGGGAGTACAAGGAAAAGTTGAAACAGCTTGAAAGAGAAAGAGTTCTGTTGGGGTTGTTTTTTGTGTGTTTTTTTGGGGGGGTGTTGTTTTTGTTGCTTTCTTTGTGTCCCCCCCCCCCAACCACACACACACACCTTTTTTCCAGTCTCCCTCCAATCCTCCCTCATCCCCAAAGAGAGTAGTAATGTCCACCCTGATGACCCTACTTCTATGGGATGTGGCTTCGAAAAGTGATTCCGAAAATCTTTTTGGGGGGTTTTTAATTTAAAGATTGAAATATATATAAATATATGTGTATGAAATTTACAATGCTGTATTGCTTCTGTTTTCAGAGGACAATGTTGCGATTTTAAAGAGGAAGATCAATTCACTGAGAACCACCTACACGCGAGAGCTTCGTAAAGTCTTGGACAGTAAAGAAAAGGACCCCGACAATGTCTACGAGCCAAGGTGGACTTACTATGAAAGACTTGATGAGTTTTTGAATAAAATCACTTGGAGGCAGAAGGGACATGCCCCTATGGTAGGTAAATTTCCTCTCAAGTCTTGATGACCTTTGCGTCTTGACAGACACAATCTGAAAGCAGTGTGTATGATACAGCTTTGCCTGGGTGGCAGATCTAAACATAGAGGAAGTAGATTGCACAAGTACTATAATAATAATAATGAAAATAGCATTTGTGTAGAGCGCATCCCCGCTCAACAGCAGGCTCTATGCGCTTTACACTATATTATTACCCCAGCAGACCATAGAACACTCCGAAACATTCTCAGCTTCCCGGGAAGCATACAGTGCAAGCAGCTGATTAAGCGCTCAAACACTAACAAACTGACAAGATCTTTCGCTGTCTATAGCCGGGTAGGAAAATTCGTGTAAAGTGCCTTTCCCAAGGACACTACGTCGGGCCCCTGACGGGATTCGAACCCTCGACCTTACGGTTGCAAGTTAGAGAGCCTAAAAGTACTACTCCCCTACCTTCTGATCTTGACCATCATGTTATTTATATTGCTCCAAAGACATTGTCAATATGTTTTGGAATCAAAGAAGATATAAGGTCTCTTGAAAGTTTTATGAGTTTTTCAAATACAGTTGAACTGGTAGACTTTCGAATCCAAGACAACCGCTAACTGCCGTCTTAGACAGATGGTCCTCTTGGCTTTGTCAACATAACAGAGAGCAGGAAAAAACACAAGTGGGGAAGATGGAAATGATCATTTGTACAGGTCATTGTCTTGGAGAGTTGGTTGTCGGAGCAGGTTTGACCGTTTGTCGTCTGTGAGGGAATCTAAAATCTTCGGGTTTTTTTTCACAGATTTTGATTTTTTCCATTTAGTTATCCAGTATTGTTTTAGTGAAGAATGAAAATTTGGGATTATGAGGATTATGAGTCAGTGACTCCATGGAGCAAAGTGGAGGCCTTCGGGTGTGCCTTTGATTTTTTTATGTGTACATGTCTCATCCACCATCACTATCTTCTATGTCTCTGCCTTGTCTCCCTTTGTTTAAAAACCTTTGAACTTGAACATTTGTTTATATTATAGGATATTGACTGGACATTAAATGTCAACAAGAATTTCTTCTTTTAGAAAGGCAGCATAGCGCCCTCTTTTCTTCACTTTCATATTTTTCCTTTCACCCTTGTTTCTTTTTCTCCACTCTGAGAAAATTTTTATCCTCTACCACTATCACTTCGAAGGGCCAGATTTTCCACCTTCACTTATTGTCTAATTCACTACACCAAAAACAGTTCCACTTGGTGTAATTTTTGTCCTTTGTTAAGTAAATTGTTCTTTTAAATTTTGGATGTCCGTACTGATTGGAATTTGAAAAAGTTGGCAAGTCTGTTTCATTGAGCTTTGACTTTTTTAGTTGGAGAGTTTTTTTCAATGGCTGTTTAAGACTGCCTCATTTTCCTCAAACTTCAAACAGAACAGATTTTACAACATTTACACTGATATTTGTAATTTAATAAATGTACTGCCATTGAAGACTTTAAAACCCAAAAGCTGATTTCTCAGAGTTTGAAACTTTGTCTCAGTACTCTTGTAAATGTTTGCTTTTTCTTTTTATGTTAGTGATATGATCTAATTTTAGTAAGAGTGAGTCATTGTTTCTGGTAATATGAATCTTACACTCGTAACTCGCCCCGGTTTGAGATGATCAGAACTAACATTGAATTTGCTTCTGCTGCCAGATGTTACAGGTAGGGCCTATTTCTTACACCCATACTGTTTGGTAACTATATACCGGTATTTCAGTTTTTAAAAAAATATTTTGATATTTTCTCTCTACAAAAAGCCGGTGTTGGCTTTATTTTTCCTTTTTTCGTACATTTGGCTGTAAAATAAATGTTCAATTGATAGGGCAGAAACGTAATGTTCACCCAGTAACTAATGTAATGTATGATTTTTATTTCTATCTTGTGAACAGAATTTTTCGCGGGCTGACAACGGCAATGGGTCATCTTCCAGGCCTCGAAGAGCGGCGAAATCGGCCGCAAAAGCGTCGGCTGTCACAGAGGAAGAGTCTGGAGATGGAGATTCGACTTCTTCTTCCTTCTCTGACTTTGATTCGTCGCCCTCTCCTCGACCTGCCAAGACACAGTCTTCTAATACTCCGGCGAAACGCTCCGCCCAGTCCACAAACAAGAACACACCTCAGACAGAAGAACAAGGGTCAGGGAAGAAGAAGAGATTGGACCCAAAAGTGGAGAGCTACCTCTTGGATGTTGCGAAAGAGAAAGAAGCTTTTGCGGCGATTGTCAAAGATCTGAAGCAGGTAAAAAACAACATGGCTTCTACGCCGCAGTCTCGGTGGACGCACTTTGGTCACTATGTGGCCATGACCCTGGACACCCTTGACCCTGTTGTGGCTACTGCAGCTGCGACTGAGATGCAAGGGACCATCGCCAAGTTTGTTGCTGAAACTGAAAGGTTTTGAAGAACATCAAAGTTTCAACATCAGTGTGTGCTCCTGAGTTGCTGAGTGTACGTTTTCCTCGTCCTCAAGGCCCGAGGTAGATCCCTTGAGCATCACTGACAATACAGTACTGCATACAGCTACAGTGGATATTTCTTTCTGCTCAGAGGACAGTTGTTTTGCCCCAGATTTTACTCCAAACGTGTTTGGTGAGAGATACAATGTTTTCCTGCAGCTGGTTCTCGAGGGCCAAAACAGTCTGATTAAGGAAAGTGTATTTTTGTCCAATTTTCTATATTTGGATTATAATCATGACGGTGGCCATTATGACCAGACTGAACTGATGGCACTGTTTGATACAACCTTAATCTCTGAAGACAAGCATGTTGGGGGTTTTTTTTCCTAGGGTTCCAGTATTGGGATTCGCAGTTCCTGTTTGACGTTGCTCTGGGGAAATTTCTCTGAGAAAGGCTAAATTTACGGGATGGTTAGCTGGTTCATGATGTGTGAGTCACGGCTCAAACACTAACACAGACAGTTCATGTTGTGTGAGATCAGTATTATGATTATTGTGATTTTGAGATAAAATCAGGTGGTCCATGTATAGCATGTAAATCCAAGATCCTATATTATCGTTGGACAAATGTTCTGAAACTGTTCAGATGGACGAGCCCAAAATTAAAGAATTTTATGAACTTGCATTTTTTAAATCTGTGATGTAGGTTACATTTCTTTGAGAAATGTTTGTCGAAATTCAAATTCTAAATGAGTTTTTAAAAAGCAAAAAGAGAGAATTGAGAGATGCATAAAGTTGATGCAAGTGCAAGTGTAAAAAAAATTAATTTTTTTCCTCTCTCCTGAAAAATTTTATGGTCGTAATCTTGAACTACATCTGTATGTGTTTCCTGATCCTCCTTGGTCAACAAAGTTTGTTCTTGGCGAACTGCCAGCTGTTGATCCTTAGGGTCTTTATCTTATCCCATGCATCAAGCTTGACTTTCATTATAATATGTGTCACGACGCAGTGGAATCAGGCGCTCGTCAATTTTTGGACATGTGGAGTTATTGGTATCATTTTAAAGCTTGTTCATTTGTCTTGCTTTCGGTGAAAAAGAATACTGATCTATCATAAATAGAAGTCAAGATATTTGCGATTGAAGGAGGTGGGAGTTGCTTGGTTTCAGATGTAAAATTAGCGAGAAAATGGCAGTCAAAGTTTGGCAACTTCTAAAGCTTGAGAGTCCTTAGAAACTGCAAATTTACATTTTTGTGCCTCAAATCAACTTTTCTAAGTAAAATCCACAAGGAAATGGGTTTTTTAATGAATCATAACAGCGTTGAGTCGAAAAAAAAAATTCGAGAAAAATTGCCAAACTGACAGAAAAATGCCAGTTTCTTCTTCATTTTTTTGACGAGCGCCTGATCTCTCCGCGCTGCCTCACATATCGACTGCTTCTTAAGCACTCTGCTACTGTACACCATTTTGAATGGTGATGTATGATGGAGTCTTACACTGAGCAGTCTATGTGCTTTTCACTTCGTATCTGTGTTCTTATCTTGTGAAAACTAAGGAGGGGGGGGGGGGGGGGT